GGTGGGAGTGCAGTGAACAGGCCTCCACGGGAAGGGCTGCCACCTGTGGAGCCTTTTCCTCCTTGTGCCCTCAAAAGGGAATGCAGCTGGGGGGGGGGGGGGGGGTGACGCCAGTTCTAAGGGCTACGGTACCCAAAGGGGACCGAAACATCTCGCCTCCCCCACCCCGGGGGAAGGGCAACCGTTCGGGGGGCGATGCCCAGACTCTACCCCGCAGCAGGCTGGTGGGTCGCTGCCTTCTGCAGAGTGACTTGGCTGCTGGGGAAGGAAGTGCTGAATTCCAGCCATTGCCCTCTGGGACAATTGCTGTACAGACTGCAAGGGGCAGGGAAGGCTTTTTTTTTTTTTTTTTTTTTTTTTTTTTCTCAAAAAAGCCAAATTTAAGCAACAAAAAAAAGTCCCACTCCTCCCTCTATATTCCCTCCTGTACGTGTGTGAAATTTATCAGTATTCTGTAGGTTTCCTTAGTGCACTTATTTTACTTGATTTTGTAATTTTTTTGAAGCAGGGGGGTTTGGATATTACTGCCAAATAAATGAGACAAAATTTAAAAAACAGCGCGTGTTTTGTTTTATTTCTCACAAGCCACATTCCTCGTTTTCCTCTTCTAAAAAAAAAAAAATCGACTCTTTCTGCACATCCCGTGATGGCATTTATATACAGATCTCAACGTGCTTGACCAGTGTGAGACGTGACTGTCTCTGTTTTATAGCTGGGGGAACTGAGGTGCGGCGGAGAGAAGTGGGAAGTTGCAAACGTGCGGCAAGCCAGCAGCAGAGATGCACGACTCCTGCCTCCGGGCCACGCGCTCCTAATGATGGGATGGTTCCACAGCCCTTTCAGTACCCCCCCGTTTGCCCCTCCAGCACATGTTCCACCTGTGCCGCTGGGAAAGCAAAACCGAGCGGCTCTCCGTGTCTGATGTGACGACGGGATGAACGTGCGTAGGGTCATGCTGCTGGCATCCAGGCAAGCCGTTGCAGAATGGGAGGAATACAGAGGGGCATGGGCAGTGAAGTACAGGGCAACCGCTCTGTCCCGTGTGGCACCGGGGGGCCTCGGCTGGAGCGCCTTCTGGTTTGGGCAGTGCCTTTCACAAAAGAGGTGGATCAGGTGGGAAGAACCCGGAGGCAAGTGAAAATAGTAACTAAGATCCTTGAAGAGGTGACTTACAAGGACAGATCAGAATCCTTAGGCACAGCTAGGAAGGAAAGATCTAAATGTTTGTCTAGAGGTGGAGACTGCTACCAGAAGGACCGTACCCGTCTGGCTGTGGCGGGTGGGACACTAGCTTCAGTTGTGGCAGCCAAGGCACATCTAGATGAGACATCGGGGAATGCTTTTGATTGTCAAGGTGTGGTGGTGCAGCACTCCCCCCCGCCCCGCGCCGCTCGGTGCTTGGTGTGATCAGGCAGCCAGGCCAGAGCGTTAAGGCAGCCTCTTAAAGTCCCCGGCTCCCGCCTCCCCTCCTGCTTGGGAATGGTAAGGACAATCAACCACCTCCTGACAGCCCAGCACCTCTGTACCTGCGTCGTGGCCCAAAGGGGGTGATACCAGACCTTCAAGACCTAGCAAGTTTTGGGCCCGTGCAACTGGTGGAAAGTGCCAGAGTGTTTTGTCGTTAGAGTTGGGCTGAAATGGAGAAGTACCTGACGAAAGCCAATTATCCTGGAACCTATAAAGAGCAACCCTAAGCGAGACCCATTGAGCTCTCCTGGATCGCAGCGGGCTGGGACCAGCACCTGCCCGGAGCTGGGACACCTCTCAGGCACAGACCCCTCCAGGTTTAAAGACCGTCTGCTGACAAAGCTGACAAAAGGCCGGGGTGAAGTCAGACTTGAGGCTCAATTATTGCCCGTTGAAGAATGCCAACGCATTGTATTTGCTCTTAACTTGAGGGAAATTCTGACTATAGGCTAGCCTCTTCCATCCACCTCTCTATCTATTTATGTGTTTGAATATGCACATTTCCTTCAAGAGTGGGTGTGAGCACATATTTCACTGTCTGTGTGTATATGTTTTGTGCCTATACATATATATGTTATTTTGATTTAGGCTACCTTGTGGTAAGTTACCGTGAATCTTGTCATTCTCAAATCTGTAAATAAGTTGCTGTTTTAATTATAACATATTCTACCAAATCACTTTGTTAATCTTTAAATCAGTCAATCATTAAGTGCTGCTAAAGTTCAACCTTTTGGTTTACCTCTCACCATTAATAAATCTTGAATTGCTTCTAAATCATGGTCATGTCAAATATTTTAGTCGGCAACACAAGGTTAGCAAAGAACTGCAAGACACCTCCTTGATATTTAACAGATCTCCTCCCTCTGTGAATTTTAAGACTAGAGTAACAGCTACCAGGAATAGACCAAGTATAGCTGATCCTACCCTAAAATGGGAGAACAGGCTGGTGACCCTCCTGAGGTCCTTTCTGTTTCTGATGTGACCATATGAAGAGAGGGCTGAATGGCTCATGTCACCTTTGCTGAATTGAATGGTGAAATGTCCTTTAATGGTGTCATGTAACAGAATGACAATGCCTTACCACTCACCTCCCCCATAACTGTAATGGACTTGGCGGTCCAACAGAAGAAAAGCTGCATTACTTTGTTTTACTTGGTATGCTCCTTTCAAAGCTGTTTTAAAAAAAAAAAAAAAAAAAAAACAAAAAAACAAACAAACAAACAAAAAAACCCAAAACAACACAAACCAACAAACATTGCCTCTTAAAATGTTACTTTTCACACCAAATGGCCTCTTTGGCACCTACCAGAAGCTGCGAATGCAGCCTTAACTGTGGCATTCCCTGCCCATTCACTGCTCAACAGCAAAGTGGGTCTGCTGTATTACTTTCATTTCTGCTGCCAGAATTTCCCTGGATTTTGAGAAGGACTGAGAAGAAGCATCAGCCACAAATTTAACTAGATGGCACTATAAATACTTTGCTTTGTGCATCATGCTTTTGGGGTGGGAGAGAGGAAGAGCAGGACAGCTGTTGCCCACCTCTAACAGAGACTTGGCAAAAACTCTGACCTGTCTGTTAATGGAGTTTAGCACATCTGAGTGTTAACGAGTTGCTGCACTGTGTAGCTACATGCACTTAATCACAATTCTCCAGCACTATTAAGCTTCAAACTGAGAAATATGCTATTTAAGTGGTTGGTCAAGACTCTGAACTGCATTTGTATAACGTATTTGTTAACTTTAATTCTGAAGATGGAAACAAACTAATCTATCGTAAGACTCAGTTCCTGAAAAAAATTAACCAGTTCACAGGGCACAACTTTGGGAGAGCACAGGCTTAAAGAACTGCAGGAGACAAGAGCAAAATCCCGGTGACCTTACTCTTGTGCTTACATAAAACCTCCCCCAAACTACCCTGATCCAGCTGAAACAGCACAACCTTTACGGAGTGGGCAAAACTATATTGACAAGAAATAACTATACTGGTACAGTGTCTGCTCTTATGCAGCTGTCTCTGGGTTCACATCAGGGGTTGCATCTGTGAATCCATAGAGACTTATAAAACAAATGAAACAAGTCCAATGGAAGGCGATCTGTTAATTCTCACTCACTACTGCACACCCTTTCTTGAAGGCTGGCCACAGCCCTGACAGCTCCCTGTTCTCAGGAATGGGAACTGCCACTTCAAAATGTTGGTAGTGGTAAAATCCAAAGTTCCTAGGAGTGCCGAAGGAAGGACAAGTGGACCATGTGTTTCATCCACAGTATTCTGGACACCTTCGAACTCAACATTTTAAGCTTCACGCATTTTAAACTCTTGGCTGGTACAAGCCAATCATGGTTTGTCTGCATTTCTCCCACTCTTAAGATGACAGAGACTTTTGTGTATGTGAAGGTTTTTAGGCGGGCGGGAGATTGCCGCACTCTTCTTCTTGGTTCCTCCACGCATCACAAGGAAGCAAGTGCGTTTCTTAAGCTTGGACTTTGTCAGGGCAAAAGTTCCCTTGGGCTGTGAATCTTCTCATTGTCATCACACACAGCTGCTGCTTCTTCCAGTGGGCGATTACTGATTACACTGCCATTAACCTGTGTCCAAAGGGCGAAGAATTGAAATCGCGAAACTTGAGGTGCCTCTTGGTGTGTGGTACAACCAAGGTCAGCTCCGTATCAATCTGTAACCTGCATCAGGCCTCTTCGCCTGGCAGGCTGACGGTGCCGTGGATTAACTCCTGCCACTGCCGACGCGCAAGACTAGAGCTGTCTTTTCACACCTGGGCAAGGAGGTACACCCAGGTGCTTCTGGGGAGGCACCTCTGTTTTGGCGCTCCACCAGCAGCAGGTCTGCAAGCACCAGAGCAGACAAACCCTGGAGAAAACACCGGCGGAGCGCAAGGCCCGGGGCGGCCGCAGGCCAGGCCCTGCTGCCAGCAGCCACCACAGAGAGAGGCTTGGGGCACAGGCGGGATAGAGCGCGCCTTCCCTGCGGGGTCTGGGGAGGAGCGAAAGGGCCAGGAGCAAGGTCACTCTTTAATCTTTCAGTTAGAGGGGCTCAAGGCTTTTAGCGCTGCCTGACACCAGCCGGCCTGCTGTACTTCCCGTTGAAGGGAGCAGGTGCCACTTCCAGGCCCCTCACGGGCATCAGCTCGTCGGGCCCGCGGGAGCGGGCGGTAACGGTGACTCGGGGCTATAACGGTGACCCGGTGGTGACTGAGTAACGGTGACCTCCGCCGGGAGCGGGGGGTGCCAGCCTCCCCCTCCACAGAAACCCCCCCCCCCCGCATGCTCGTTCCGGGGCCGCCGCCGTGTCTCCCTTTCTCTCCGCCGCCCGCCCGCGGGAGCCCCGCAACCTGCATAAAACCGCTCGCCCCTCTCCGGCCGCAGGGGCGGCTTTTCGCCACGGCGGGCGGCGAGCCCGGGATCGAGCACGGCGCCTCCGGGCACCGGCGCGGGGCTATTCAGATTCCGGGGCGGGGCGGGGCGGGGCGTGGGAGCCCCCGGGGTGACGCGAAGGGCGGCAGCGGCGGGGACGTCGGTCGGTGCGAGCGGGATGGCGGCTGCTGGCGGCGCGGCCCCGGACATGGACATGGACATGGACATGGACATGGACATGGAGATGGAGCCGGAGCCGCCGCGGCGCGGCCCGGCGGCGGAGGAGGAGGAGGAGGAGGAGGGCGAAGAGGAGGCGGCGGAGCTGTCGGCGGAGCTGTCGGCGCGGCGCAGCGCGGAGGCGCGGCGGCTGGTGCTGTCGCCGCGGCGCCTGTCGGGCCCGCTGCCCGCCGGGTTGTCGCAGTGGTTCCCAGCCCTGGAGGTGCTGGACGTGAGCGGGACGGGGCTGGCGGAGCTGGGCGCGGAGCTGCTGGCCCTGCCGCGCCTCCACACGCTCCTGGCCAAGAACAACCGGCTGGGCGGGCCCGGCTCGCTGCCCAAGGGGCTGGGGCAGGCCCCGCTCGGGCGCTCCCTCCGCGTCCTCAACCTCAGCGGGAACCGCTTCGCCGAGGTGCCGCCCGCCCTGCTGGGGCTCCGCGGGCTGCAGAGCCTCAGCCTCGGCGGCAACCGCCTCCACGGCATCCCGCCCGACATCCAGGAGCTCCGCAGGTGAGGGCAGGGCGCCGGGCGGGACGGGCCCCCCCCGCGCCTCCGCGGCCGGGCCTCTGCCCCGGGGGGGACGACAGAAGCCCCGCCGGCAGCCCGGCTAACCCAGCCGGGCATTCTCGCCGCGAAACGGGGCGGCCCGGTCGCTTTGGGGGGAGTGAGTTTCGTCCGGCCTCGGGCGCCTCTCAGCACCGCTGCTGCTAACGTGTCTCTTCCCCCCTTCGTCAGGTCGAGTTGCCACAGCTCGAAGCCGCTCGCCAGGCGGACGACGGGCCTCCCGCGCTTGCGGAACGGGCGACTCTTCCAGGATTTCCTAGTCCTTGGGCTGCCTGGGCGCAGGGGAGGCTCTCCGCGTGACAGTGTGGTTGGCGCGAGCGCTGACACGCAGAAGGCGCTCCGTGGCTTTGCTTTAATACAGGTCTCTAGGCAAGAGCAAACTAAAGCCCCTGGCCTCGTGCGGCGCGTGGCCGCGCGATACACTGCACGGGAGAATAAAGATCGGGTTGTGGCTTATGCAAACAACAGGGCCTGTCTGCTGGTACGGCTCCGGACTCATCCGGGTGCCTGCTGGCACGGTTGGGTTTCTGTTGTATTTCTGTCCACCCAGCCGGCTCGGGTAGATCTGAGGTGTGGAGCCCTAGGCTGTGCTCGGGTAGATCTGAGGTGTAGAGCCCTAGGCTGTGCTCAGGCGCGGTGGTACATCTGGCTCTGGGGCTGGATCAAACCGCCGCAGGCTGATGACATAGAAACCTGTGGCTGAAACACATCAGTTAGGAACACTGGTGGGGTGGGAACAGATCTTAGGCAGGACTGGGTATTGACTGCCCGCCCTGACCTGGGACAGGTACTGTTGAAGCCTGCCATCCTCCGGGGCAAGCCGAAGGCTGTGTTCTGCCTCGCATGTTACACACGGGCACCTTGGTGCGTTCTGCTGGTTCCTCAAACCTCAGACTGGTCCCTTTGTGGCTGTGTGCTAAGACTTTGGGTCTGAACTTTATTCACTCCAGCTCTTTGCCAAGGGACTTGCCAGAGGCAGCCCCTCCTACGCAAATTCCAGCAACCTTGACCCTAATTAGCTGAATTTGCCCTGATGGCTCAGCAGAGCTGCATCCAGGGGAAGCACAGGATGTTGTATGTGGGGTGCTGCCTCCCACAGCCCTAGGCTGGAGGTACCAGAACTGCTTGAGTGCTGGCGGGTAATGGTTTTGTCTGCCACAACATAATACAGTTGGGTATGTGGCTTTTGCCCAGATGGCACAGCATGTACCTGTTGAGGACCTGGAGCAATTCTGGGTTAAGCTGAGAGACGCTACGAGGCATTTTGAGTGCCCGTGCCCTTCTTGACAGAGTTGGGAATGCGTCCTGGGTTGGGGCTATCACAAGGAAGAGGAACCTCAGCTTTCTCTCTGTTCAGCAGCAGTTGCTTCAGGGATAATGAAGGAAAAGAGGACAGTGGCACCAGCTTCATGGGAAAGGAGGCCAATGGAGGAGAGCCGCTGTATGTGGGAGATAATCCATGTTGCCTCCAAAGCACGCCTGGTAGCATCCAGGTTGTGGTTGGGATCTGATTGCAGAGGCTTCCAGCTGCTGCTCGCATGCTCTCATCTGTGGTTGTGGTTTCTCTCTCTCTCTTTTTTTAATTTTATTTTGTTCCACCCCCCCAAGAAAACAAATCTCAGCCCTGCTTTTTGTTGTGCTGCTGGCCCTGGGAAGGTACCAGGCTGCGTAGCGCTGCACATGAGCTGTGTGCTGTGCTTCACGCTGCACTGCTGTCAAACTACTGCTGCATGGTTACTCTGCTTTGTTCCTCTGGCCTGCACTGAAGCAGGGCTCCTGTTTGTCCTGTCCTGCAGCTTCCCTTGGGCTGGTCATGCTCGAACCCCAGAATGACAATTCTGAGAGGGCAAATGCGGACAAGGCTATTGAACTGTTGGTTTATCATTACAAAGTGATGTGTCAGGTAATAAAACTAGGCTAGACCCAGCTTGTGTCTGCTGCCCGCGTAATCACTGCAAACTCATTGAACTTCTGCTAACATGTCACCATAATGTAATTGAACTTTAGCTTAAGATAGCAAATCCGTGCTCCACCAGGATTGTTGACTTCTTTACCACTATGCCATCAGTGCCTCTTCTGTATCTGGGACTGCTTAAGTAATGAAAGGGAGCAGCACACTTGCTTGTCAGATCTGGGAGGAATCAATACTTTAAATTTAATATTCCTCCAGAAGGAATCCTGAATCTACTCATTGGGAGCCAGATAAGCAGTGACCTGACACCCTTGCTAAAAAAATAGTAAATACCTACTGGAGAGAAACTGCTGCCAGACCCTCCTCCCACCTGCCAACAAGAGAGGTGTCCACAGCATGAGTGGGCAGAGTGTTGAAGTGGGTAAAACAAGCCTGAGCAAGAACAGAGCAGAGCCAGCTGTTGTGGCAGGGCAACACGGAGGCATCTGTTTGTTTCTGAACTCTAGGCCGGGACTTCTCTTGGGGCTTCTCTTAACCTCACAGCTCAAGCTGCAAGTGTCCATCTCGCTGTTTCTGGCAAGCCAAGACTTTGAGCCTTTTTCTGTATGCAACTTCCCATAAAAGAAATGTTTCTCATGTCTTGTGGTCTCTGAGACCACAGAGGAATGGAGGCAGCACTTTGGCAAGACACATTCCTTCTGCTGGTACCAGAGTTCCTGAGGCCAGCAGTTCTCCTTGCCCTGACCCTGGCAGATTCCCATTGGCTCCAAGCACTGATTATAGAGCAGAGTTGCAGAGATCTAGAAATACTTATTCTGTTTCCAGGGAATGTCTGAGCTCTGATGAGATGATTTTTTTTTTTTTTTTTTTTTTAAATTCTTGATAACTAAGCCTCACATCTTTCCTCTGCACCCCATAGTTTCCTCTTGTAGTTTTTGAAGGAGTAGCATGTCAGTTTTGGTGAAGGCCGGGAATACAGCAGGTAAGGATTCTATGTGGTAAAGTTGAAAGAATAGAAAGCTGATGAGTCTGATCTGCTGAGGGAGAAGGAACATGCTGGCAACTACAAATGCAAAGGCCCTGGAATGAGAGACGTGTGCCATGTGTTGTTGTTCACATGAAGACAATAAACCCACATCTTTGCAGCAAGCTGGGATCAGGCATTTTGTGCAAAAACTTTTCCCTAGCGTATTCCTAGTGATTTGGCAAGTTAATTAACAGTGATAAGAACCCCAGCCAGTTCTGCTGCTGTCTTGTTTTATTCCTTCCAGCTTCAGCCGCCTGCCCCATCCTTGCCCACACAAATCTTTGTGTGCAGTACAGGATCCTGCATGGAAAGTGAGTGCCTTTCTACCTGATTATTAGTTACCTCCTAGGCTGTTGTAGAAGGACCACCTATAGATGTCCTGATGCTTGAAGCTTCCATCCCAGGGCTACGTAAGTGGATGATCGTGATTGCTCTGGTGATGGCAGCAGGATGATGCTGGCACCAAGGACGAGTAGCCTTTGCTTCATGTTTTCCATTAGAAAAATGCAAGGCCCTTTCCTTCTAATTCTCTGTGGTGACCGTAATTGTCTATGGTGACCTGAATATCCTCTTAGGTTTCTGAGGAAGGTAAGTCTGGGCCCTGCTGAGGGCTTGTTTAAATCCTGTTGTGGCTGTGGCAGCCCTTTCTGTATGCCCACCACCCACGGTTACAATCAGTTAGCAGTGTCAGTACAGTGCAAGTCCTGAATTGCAGCATTGGCTGTTGCCGCCAATTTAGAGCAGAAAATGCACCAGATGGGTGAGAGCAGCCCTCTTGGCATTGCTTTTCTGTTTGTTGCCAGCTAAAAGATGAGCTTAGCATAGGTAGACGTAAGCGTCCTCTTTTCTGCAGTTCTCCCTCCAACAGTGACCTGGCTGTGTTTTCAGTGTGAGGTGTTACGGTCAGCCACTCTCTCCGATTGGATTCACAGCCTGCAGCAGCTCCTGAGCTGTGATCTGCATAGACATCCCACTGCTGCGTTGGTTGTGCTTATCCTTCCTCTGCTGAACCATCTGGGGATGCGCTAAGGGGCAGCGTCTGTTACAGCTGGTGAGCTACATGTGTGGTCACCTGCTCGTGCCTCCTCTGGACAAGATTTGTTTGGCAAGTCTGGTGGAATTCAGCTCTGATTCTCACGGTCTAGCTGTGGCTTTTGGCTTAAGGGTGCCCGGATTGCCCTGGTGAGTGCGCGCTTGGGGAAATGTCTTGTAAGTGTCCCATAAAGGGAAGAATTCTTAAAAGCGTGGCAAAATGCAGTTGATACCTTGAATCTCCTGATCCAAATTTTGAGTTTAGTTTTACTCTTCTAGTGAATACTCTCACGCTCAGTGGAGCACCAGGAGCAGGCAGAAAAAGCTTGGAAAAGAGCCAGGCTCTTTCCAGGCGTCTGCCGTGCATGCTCCTTTCCTTCTTGCCTGGATTCCTCTAGTAAAGCCCAGTTGTGCAAGGGCTGGGATCAAAGGCCTCAAACGCCTAACTGGATTCATCTAAGTTTTGTGTAAAGGCTTAGATGCAATGAAAACCAGAGTATTTGCTTTTATTCGTGGGTAGTGTTAAGCATGTTAGACAAGCATATACTTAAGAACGGCTGTTACAATGTGGGAAAAACGGCAAGTGAAGCTTTGATAAAGATACAGCATTAGGAAATCTGCTTGCTGCCTCCCTTTTTCTTCCCCTCTTCAAACATTTTGCAAATAGTTTTCAGACAACTGTTTGATCTTAAATTTGCGTGTCAGCAAAGGCTATGCAATTCTCTCAGGAATTAGCAAATCGTAGAACAGGGTTAACAGGAGTGTACTGTGGGCTGCTTTTAAATTCCTCCCTTGCATGAGCCTAAAAAGTGCCCTGGAAATTTATTGCTAAAATGTTTATCTTAAAAAGACCTGGAGCTATTTCAGGCTTCATTGTTTCTTTTTAGATTACCTATTTAGATGCATCTGTTTGATGTCAGCTGTTAAATTTTATCCAAAGAAGCATCTGTGGGGAAACAGGGTGGATTGAAAATTTGAGTATCTTCTATGCCAGAAGACATTCTCCCCTTGAAACATGCTATGAAAATGCCGTGGTAATTGCTAGGGTATCAAAAATGCCTCTAGTGCTCAGAGTGGGCTCTTCTTACTTACTGTTTGGGGGCTTTTTGATTTGTTTTGTGCTACAGGATGAACTGGAAACCCCCAGGGCATACTCAAGCAAGAATGTAGCCTTTGCCACCACCTGAATTCGTAGTTGTTTGAGCATTTCCTTGCTCCCTTCCTGTATGTAAAAGGAATTCCACAGCCACCCTACAGCCTGGTGGTGTGACATCCCCTGCTAGAGAGGGATGACACTGCGTGGGCCCGGCGTGCCGGCTGCTGCTTGGCAGCAATTAGTACTGGCTCTGCTGAGCGAGGGGCCTGCTGGATATGAGGCTGAAAGGGACTCTGGCCTTTCATTAGTGTATTTGTAAATATTGCTAAAAGGCAGGAGAGAAAGTGTCAGCCCCTATTAGTTAGTCTATCAAATGGTGGGGGGGTTTTCAGTTTTTGTTGGGATGGATTTTGTTAGTAGTTTTCCCTCCTGAAACTCGTTCAGGCAGAGACTGTGTGGCAGGTCGGCAGTCCATCATTTATTCTGGCTTCAAAAATTGGAACTGAGCTTATGTTCATTTGAGGCTGGCTGCTCTCTGGCTTTTCTAAGTTCCTGGACTGACTTTTGAAAGTACAGAAAAATTCCAGCTCTCCCTCTGTGTACACAGTGATGCATGAGACCTTAGCTAGCTGGTCCAAATGACTATGCAGATTAATGATTGCCAGAAAAACTAGGTCTTGGTGTGAAAGGTTAGTTAGAAGCATTCACTAAGCTCAGTCCCGTCTCTGCTGTGGTCCTGTGAAAAAAAAAAGATGGTAAATGTTGCAGATTGCCTCGTTGCAGGCTCTTTTGTGAGGAGGGCAGAGCTCAGCAACCTGCATCTTGAGTAGGACAGTGAGACAGCTTGAGAGCCAGCATTGCCTTGGCCTCTAGGTATGGGCTTAGTAAGGCGGGAAAATCAGGCCAGGATTAGCTGAGCTGGGAACAAACTGTGGCCCCAGCGGTGTGGTCAGCGCTCATGACAAAAGAGTTGTGTCTCTTCAAAATCCTTGCCTCTGTCGTGATCAGCTTTGCTCAAACAATTCTTGACGGCTTAATCTGATGCAGAAATGACTATTGTTAATTTTTCCATCCTGCTCAGCCAAGACTCGGCTAGATCCTTCTTTCTAGTGAATTGTATTTTGGGGGATGGGAATTACATATTTCTTTTGCCTACTGAGCAGTGTTTCAGTGGAAGCTACAAGAAGGTCTTTGCTGTATTTAAAATAAGTTTCTTTATAGTTTCAAAACCTCCTCCTTGTGCCTTTTTTAGTAAATTTACCATCTAATTCATATCTTAAGATGATGTTGGAAATTCTGATTTGCTGTACTAGACTGGGCCCAGTGAGCTGTTGGTCTACTGACCTCAAAAAAGTGATTCAAAAGATAGGTTAAAAAAAAAGACAATTTTTGAGAAGCTCTTTGTTGCCACTGAAGGAGCTATCTTATTTAGTGGATTTTTAGTTAAGAGACAGTTTGTAATCTGGTGTTGGGGCTTTATACCCTAGCTAGTATAACTGAGTGTTCTCATTACACAGACTTTACAAAGAATGGATTTGAAAGCTGAAAGTAGTTTCTAAGCAGTGTTTTTGTATGCTTAGCTTGTGCCGTAAACTGCTCTTGAAACTTAAGTATTTAATGCCTTGAAATGAATTTTAGAACCTATATACTATATATTTTGCACCCTTCTTCTCCTTCCCTAGTAGTATGTGGTTTTGTGCGGTGTGGCTTTATGGGCATTATTGTCTTCAAACACAGAAGATGAAGAGTTAATTATTCACTTTTCCTAGGAAGTGGAAACTTGTACGCATCTAAACCTTGTTTAAACATTGAAATCCACATCACTACAATTCCCTTGCCCAACAGTTTTTGCTTGTGGGCTCCAGCAACGGCGTGGAGTTAAAATATGCCTAGGAATTGTGTGGTCAGCAGTTCAGTCCCTAATGAGAGCCAAGCAGTCTAAATCCACCTTGAGAAACAATGGAGGTTGAAGGAGGAATTTTGGTTAAAACTCAGGGCTTTGTTAAGGGATCAAAATTTAATTAAAAATAATCTCCCCTTGGCATGGTATCTGCACAGCAGCCTTCTTCCTACCCCCACTCCTCACCTACAGGTTGTCTGTGTAGAAGAGAGGCTACTTCTGAGCGGTGGGGCTTTGGTGGTTGTTTTCTTCCTGTGTGCCTTCTTGTGTGTTCAGAGTAACCTCCAGATGTACTGCCCCACTTGATCTCTCAGCTGAAGGAAGTACGGTTACTTCCTTTCTTGTAGTCAAATTCAGTTTAAGGCTTAATTTTGTGCCTACTTTGCAAATTTCAGTTATTTAGCTTGTCTCTGACATACTCCAAAAAGGTAAGTGAAACGGGGGAGGGGAGTTAAGCTCTGTGGGCATCTCCTGGTGTGTTGCAGAGGTCTGTCCTTCTGTTCTTCACTGCTGGGCAGATGGACCTTTGTGCTGTGTCAGTGGCCCCTGTAGCCCAAGCAGATGCTGTCATTGGATCTTCGGGGTTTAAGTTTCTTGCAAGAACTAAACGAAATAGTCTTCTGTTCTTCTGCTCCATCCCAGGGGAAGCCTCAGAGAGTAGCTTCTCTGGTGATCCACACACGCTGTGGTGCCGTTGCAGGGCTCAGACCTTCTCTGGGTTGACCACCATGTCCCTTGGGTGGTTTGGTCGTGTGTTTCTTCACCTGTTGTATCCACAGCCTTTCTTAGTAGCTGTGGTGAGATGAAGGTGTCTCCTATTCCAAGGAGGTTATAGCCTGGCCTTAAAGAAAGGCTGAGGGAGCCTGGATGATTTCTCGTTCCCTGACCTGTGGGGAATGCTTGGTGGATCAGAAGGAGCCCATGTACACTGTAGTTAGGCAGCTAACCTGAGTATGCACTGGAGATCTTGAAGCAGCACCTGCAGAAAAAAGTGGGATCCACTTTTTTCAGGCATGGGAAAAAAATGTTTTCTGGACAGAAAGGACTCAGACTGAACCTGCCTTTGCTCCTCTTCCAGACAGCAGCTGAGAACAGGGGAGGAAAACTATTTGACTCTGTGAAATGGGGACTTGAGGCTATTATGTCGAAGAGAAGCGCTTGCCAATTTTTCTTCCTAGAAGGGCAGAGATGCACAGCAAATACTGACTATTCCACTTGGCAGAAGGGATCTAGTGCCTCTCTTTGTTCCTGTCTCCCATCCACTGAGTTTTCACAGGACATCCAGTGGAGTTTTTTTGTTTGTTTTTTAATGTCCAAACTGCAGTTAAGCCCAGCTAATGTTTTTGGTAGCTTTGGGCTCCATGACTTCGGTATACCGAAATCTATCTGAGAAATGACATGTATATACTTGCACGACATAGATGCACTCTGCTGTTGCAGCTGTGGTGGGGTTGGTACGTGAATTGTATCCAAGTGGGACTGACTGCCTCCGACTTCTGCTGAAAGGTTGCAGTGAGTCACTGAGGAGTCAAATGATACCATAAAGAGCAACCAGCACTTGTGCAGGGCCAGGATTTTCAGGGAGAGCCACTGCTCTCTTGCTTTGCTCCTGCTGAACCTGAGAACTCCCGCTGGCTACAAGAGGAGCTGTGTCAGTGCTGCAGGCCCTGTGTGTACAGACTGCTTTTACTTGAAAGTAAGAGCAGGAGCTTTGTATGTGGGGTTGGTGTAAGAATACATAGTTGTCTGGTACGTCTACAGGTGTAATAGTAACTGCAGGAGGCTGGAGGTAAATCTCAACATTATCTGTTGTGAAACAGCAGCTCTGTTGTAATTCTTATGTGCAACTCTGCTTTTTTTCCCCGCCCCCCAGCAAATTCTCATACATAGTCATCTGTAAGTTTTCTTTAAGAAATGCAGGAGATAAGAAGACCTAGTGTTAAATGAAACTGGAAATGACCTTAATGAAATAATCCAGTGTTTTCTCTTCTCTTTCTCAGTTTAGAGTTTCTATACCTTGGAGGGAATTTCATTACTTCAATTCCACCTGAATTAGCAAACCTGCCTTCTCTAAGCTATCTAGTTTTGTGTGACAACAAGATCCAGAGCATTCCACCTCAGCTGGCACAGTGAGTATTTATTGCCATCAGCCACCAGCTGTAATTAACTCTTTGAACGTTTTCTTCTGTATGTGTGGATAAAAGCACCTGGGAGGACCTATTTGTCCTTCACTGTGTTGATGTGACCAGACTTGAACAAGATCCTTAGCATGGTGCACTGCAGGCACACCATGTAAATCTCCATCAAAGGGTTATGGGAAAAAAAAATGTCACCAAGTATACACTTTAAGGTGAATTAATAGATTTGTACAGAAAGCCCTGAGAAGTACATGGGCAACTCAGAAAAGATAAACTGCTATGCTGCCATATTCTTAGTGATGAATGCTTGGTCTGTTTTGTCTTTCACTCAAAGCCTTTTTGTGTGTGCTTTTGTGTTGTACCATCCTCTGTGTTCTCTTGACATTTCTTACTCTAGGATCTCAGAATGTTTTAGTGTTCATTAAATCCTACAGCACAGCTCTAGAGGATAAGTTACTGCTTTATCTGTTCCACAGTGGGGAAGAGGACACTGCAGACTCTGTATGAGTAGCCTAAAATGGGAGGTAAAGAATTCAGTGTGTAGCTGTAACCCCAAAAGCAATTGAACGGTGGCACAGAGTTTTCTCAGTTGGAATTTGATGGTGTAGTGGGATTATTCTTAATGTCCAGTTGTCTCATAACTTGTACTGGTTTGAGAGCATCCCTGGACGCTGTGCTGGAGCATTGCTTTGTGCTTCCTGCAAGAGACGAACGCCTCCTCCAAAGCCAAAAAGCTACTTGTCACCCATGCTGATGCTAGCCTGGCCTGACCTTGCTTAGCTTTTGAGATCTGGTCGTATCCCAGAGCAAGGGGATGCAGCTGCAAGCAATGGAAACAACTATGGGGTTTTCCAGGGTTGGCTGCCTACCAGCAATCATCTTTAATGCATGAGTGAAAGCAGGTGGCATGTTGTTCAAAGTATTGCATGGAACTGTTCTTGATACATGCACTGCGTACAAGGAAACCTTATCTCCCCTGAAGGCACACTCAGTATGTATACTTTTGTTGTATGCTACCTTTTTTTGGGGGGAGTGTGCATGAGGGGGAATACTGAGAGAGACAGCAGCATACTGGAGACTGCGTTTCTTTAACAGGTATTCCAGAGCTGAGCCAGATTTTCTAGGGCTTTGTGTGTGCTGGAGTAAACAGCAGCTCCTGTAGCACAAATTTATGCTTTAAAAGGAAGAAAAGCCAAAGAAAAAGAGCTTGGTGGGAGAGGGTAATCAGGTCTGTGTAATGCAGTTGTGGAATGGTTTTGCTTCCCCATCTTGACTGGGTTTCCACCTCTGTCCTCAGGCTGCCTTCCCTGCGTTCCCTTAGCCTGCACAATAACCTGCTGACTTACCTTCCTCGAGAGATCCTTAACCTGGTTCACCTGGAAGAGCTGAGCTTGCGTGGGAACCCACTGGTGGTTCGGTTTGTCCGTGACCTGACCTACAATCCCCCAAGCCTCCAGGAACTGGCTGGACGCACAGTTAAAACTCGCAATGTTCCCTACGCTCCCAGCGATCTCCCGGAGAATCTTGTCCGCTATCTGAGCTTGGCCAGCAACTGTCCCAATCCTAAATGCGGGGGTAAGTTCACCTTCACTGCTCTGCCTCCTGCTTTTACCCGATGGGTTTTCTTTCCTTCTGACTTGCCGTGACTTCAGTAGCTCAGGCAGGTTAGATGTGTCGTTGCATCCAAATTCTAGCTGTATTTCGTTGGCTCCAGGTCTCCTGCAAATTTGTCTTTAAGGAACCTTGTTCACTTAGGAACGATGTTCAGAGTTGTAGTGCTGGTTTGCTGTATTTGCATGGGAATTCTGTCAAAGTCTTTGCAGCTCACTATGCGCTCCACTGTGCATATGCCCAGCACTGCACTATGCTTTTATGGTCTGAAGTTTCTGATCTATCTACCCTGAAAAAGCTCAGTCTAAGTAATGGACAGGAGAATATTTGCAAGCGCTCTTGCTGAATAGCAAGCTTCATTTCTGGATGGAAAAGAGGAGAGGGACTGTAGTGCTTGGCAGTTACCGAGAGCAACTTGTTTAGCTCTTGCTTGGGACTACTCGTGTGTAGTTCCTGGAAGGAGAAGACTTCATAGAAAAGCCTGGAATGCTTGTGCTTAATTTGGCTTAATGCTTAATCTTTATCCACGGTAAATGATCTGTGCGTTTAGCCTTTAGAAGATTAAGGAAGAAAATAATTAATTAGTATCTACCCTGCAGTCATAATGCAGGCTGTTATCTTATCTCCTTATAGGGCAATATCAAAGCAAGCCCTGTAAGCAAACATGGAAGGCTTGGAACTTGTGTTGAAAGCGAAAGAAATGTTTCCTTTTTTAGAGTTTTGTGCAGCTTGTATAACAGTGGATCGGTTTTGCTCTTTCTCACTTTTCCTTATGAACTATCACAGTACTGCAGTGTTGTTCTAGCACTGCAGGAGAAAAGCCTACTCCAGACCAGCCTAGGACTTAAAACACCGCTGGAAACTTCTGAAAATGGCAGTGTCTAAAATCACTTGCTGTGACAGGAAAAGAACGTAATTGTGTGTTACAGCAACACTGTTGCCATGGAAAGTAGCATCCAAACTCAGCATGGTGACTTCACTCAAGCAGAAGAAAAGTAAAGCTACGAAGGTCTATTTGTGAATGCATTTTTGCTAGCTGGTAGAAGAGGTTTTCCAAGTCTGAAAATAGAGTGGATGAATTAATTTGACATTTAAGAAGTTTGCAAATTCCCAGCCTGATTTCTCCCTCATGGTTATAAGAAATTGCTGAATTCTTTAATTCTTTGGAAGTGGCTGCCCTGTGTCTCTTGGTGTAGAGTGTGCCATTCTGAATCACCTACCAGATACAGTTTTACAGGTGGTGTTGTTTTGTTTTTTGGTTTTTTTTGTTTGTTTGTTTGTTTTTTAACACTAAGGAAAGAAATTTCACATTTCCATAGGTGTCCTGGCCCCTTCTCTTCCTCCAGTATCCCTTGTTGTATGTCCGGTGCCCTGCCAGTTAAATCCTAATTTGAAGCCTTTGCACTGGCCGCAGTAACCTTGCAGAGCTTACAGATTTCTCCGCGTGGGGCCTCATATGTTCTTACTGCTCCTTCTGCCCTTACAGGTGTCTACTTTGACAGCTGCGTCAGACAAATCAAGTTCGTCGACTTCTGCGGGAAGTATCGCCTCCCGCTGATGCACTACCTGTGCTCCCCGGAGTGCTCCTCTCCCTGCAGCTCTGCCTCCCAGAGCTCGACTTCCCAGAGCGAGTCTGACTCGGAGGACGAAGCCAGCGTCGCTGCGCGCAGGATGCAGAAAGTCCTTCTGGGATAGCGGGGGCGAGCGGGGAAGACCAGAAGGAAAACGTGTTTGGAAAGCATTAATGGAACAGCAAAGCGGGAGCCTCTTGGCCCGAAGGGCTCTCAAGAAACTGTCCTCAAGTCCATGTAAGGGGCAGAACATCTTAGCAAGCCTGGACTTGCTCGGGGCAGTGCTATTTCGGGGAACTCCCTCGGTGGCACACTGCCTGTAGGGTGCCTGGGATTGTTAGAAACATCTCCTGTCTGGGAGACACCCCCCCTCCCTCGTACGGGCTGGGGAGGGGGATCTGTTCTCACTGGCGGATTGAGAAGGATTTTAATATATGACACTTACTGGGCTTCAGTCATCCTTCAGAGCAAAGGAGACTGCCCAGATCTTTTAACACTGTGGTAAATCAGAAACAGGCTAATGATGCCATGTGAGTATGTGTGGACCCCAATGTTTTATATAGCGTTTTGATTCCTTGCTGTCTCCTTTGATTTCAGTTAGATTTTACACCCATCCACTAAAAATGGGAGTTGGATTCTTCTTTTTTTTTGTTCAGGAGTAGATTTTTTTCAAACTCTGGTTACTCTTCCTTTGCCTAGAGGCGTAGGGTCTCTTGTGCTGTTACAGATGTTACAGGCATCATAGAACTGAGCCACGTTTTTTTCTCCCTTGTTATACTAAGCTGCTCTTAGCGTTTCCTCCTAACTGTATTCATTATTTTTTCCTCCCGCTGCCTCTTCCCATTACACCTGGAGTGTTGCTGCCTTTATGGTGCCTTCAGAAAACAGACAAGTTGTTCTATTGAGACTTGGTATTACTTCAGACTTGCAGCCGTACATGCCGGTGCAAGGGACCAGATGTGATGCTCTGTATCATGTTTTTGAGCCTTAGCTTCCTGGAGCAAATCTGCTTTTATATCTGTGAATTGCAGGAAGGGTCTTGATTGACATTTCTTGTTTCTAAACAACCATGTCCCCCTGCTGCAGCCAGCTCTGCTATGCTTGGTACAGAGTTACTTTCCATATTTAAGGTCATCTGCTTAAAGTAGGCAGCAGCTTAATGAATTAGAAGTGCTGAGAGAAGTGCTGTGGAGAATGGCCTTTTTTTCTTATTCATAACATGAGAGGAAAAGCCGGTAGGGAGGCTAAGGCGCAAGAATCTTGCATGAGGTGGTTTTGAAACCTCTTCCTTATTTATTTGTTTGCATTTGCTCTTGTTCTAAGAGGTTTGGCAGTCTGTTAGATTGTTCAAATAACACATTCGGTTATCTTAAACTATGTTTAAAGGAAAGCTGCAGAAAATAGCTCAGAATTTTTAAGTATCAAGAAATAGCTTATGAAAATTAATATTATGTATTGACAGGGATCCATAAATCTTCTTTATGGGGCTGTTGTGTGTTTTTCTCAGTGAGAACTGCCCCCTTATTAATATTTCATGACAGACAGTCCTTTTGATGCAGTTTCAGATAGAGAAAATCCAACTGGGCCTTTGAATGCCTGAGCAGAGCAAATACATTGTGTGAATGTAACACATTCATGTAAATGAACAAGAAAATCTTTTCTTAACCAACTTTGGTCCTTGGGAGAAGATTAAAAATCCATGCTCCTCTCCTGCATTCAGAAAACGCATGTACCTATTTGAATATCTTATGGCAGCTCTGTGTTAGCGGTCCTGTTTAATTATATTTGACACTTTATATATAAAAGCACTTTGATAATTCTACTCTTTGTAACTAGCTTTAGTGATTTTTTTTTTTTTTTTCAATTAGACTACAATTTTTCCTTTCATGTGACCTGAAGAACAAGGTCTGTGAAACTTTGTGTGTTCCAGTCTGTCTTGGTGTGCAGGTTAAACTTCTCGCCTTGCATTTCCTTGACAGCACTGCTCATTTCCCCATTTTCCTTTAGAGAGAACTGGAATTTGAAAGAAATGGTCTGGTTGTAAAATAGCATCCCATCCATTATTAATCACTGCAACTTAGTCTGAAGATTCCCCACACACACAGATCCACAAGGAGCTAAATTGCACATGCTCTGTGCCTTTCCAAATAATTTTTATTAAGTATATTTTTAAGACACAATAAGGCATATGTGCAAAGCAACTGGATGTCACTTTAGCAAATTCTGTGAGGTTTGCTTGGGAAGAAGAACCTACAGATTTTGAGAGAAACAGACTGCATGCTGCTAGTTAAATTGGGATCAGTGAGTGGCCTGTGTTTTGTTCTTCATCTCCTCTTTCAGATGCTTGTTCCTGTCCCAAGTGAATATCGCCATACCAGTGCTGAAGGACAGTAAAATGATTGCAGAGCCACAATTTTAAATTGGCTGCTAGTATAAGAGCAGTGAGCAACCAGGTGATCTAGACCTTGGCTCTTCTGCCAGTGAAAGTGAGCCACACGAGTAGAGATCTCAAAACCTTTTGAGCTCAGGGCCATGAGGTATACCACCTTCCTTTCTTCTCATTAGCAGCAGCTGTCTTGGCTGTGCATTTTTCCACTTCACAAGGTTAGATTTCACCACGGTTCCCGTTCGCACAGTAGCACCTCTGTGTGTGACGGGTTAAAACCAGTGGTGGCCGGTTCTAATTTAGCTTGATCCTTAATTGCATTTTCTTTCCTAACTGAACAGGCATCCCATTTCTGCCCCAATTCTAATAGGGCTAATCTTTTTTCACAGCTTCTTCACTGTAGCCAGGTCAAAACTTGACAGCTTATGCAGTTGATATCTATGCATTTTTAGACTTTATAAAATGTCTTGTCTCTTAAAAATTTATACGTATTCCTGAATAGGGCTACCAAGTTTTCTTTTTGCTGCTGGGCTTTAAAGTGCAATTCAACTAAGACTTTAAAACAATCACAGACCTGTAAGAAAAACAAATGGTTGGTTGATTGGTTAGTTGTTTTTGGGTTTTTTTTGTTTTTTTTTTCTTTTTTCCCCTCAAAAGTGGATTTGAGAGGACTAGACATGCAGGTTTGTACTGTAGTGCTTAATGTACTGAGCCCCCAGGAGTTAAGTTTTTCAGCAATTATTTGCCCCCAAAGACTGGAAAATGTACTGGGGGCAACAAAATAGGTAAGACACAAGTTGAACATACAGTGATGAATGATGGGGACTCGTTCCTACTATCCCCTTCTCAGGGGCCCTGAGAAGTAGAGGGTGGCTTTGCCATCATTGTATCTCTTTTTTGTGAGTTTTAAGTAGTGGATTTCAGTTCCTACAGATGTGTCTCCGAGTGAAGTCTTCAGACAGTGTTTTGGTATCAGTGCCCTTGTCGCTGCAGCAGCCCAGCACGTCCAGCTTTTGAAACTGCTCTTAAGCCGAGACGCGAGTGTGTGAAGCAAAGTTGCTCGTTCCCTCTTCCCCGCGGGGCCCGGGGCCGTGCCTGCATTCCTCCTCTGCCCGGCCATCTCTCTGCCAAGGGGAGCTGCTGGTGCGTTTCTGAATGCAGGTACTTAATGTGAACAGTGGGGTCATGTTAAAAAGAAGCAAAATATCAATTTGACTGGAAGCAACTTATACAGTTGCCAATTCTTTTATGTTTCTCTTTCTTTTAATAAGAGGTGAGACTTGAGGAAGTCAGTAATGAATATTTAAACATACTCTGAAGTGGCCAGATGCAGTTTTTCATGGGCTTCTGTCCTGGTCATTTTAAGTCTTTGAAATCTTGTGTTGAATTATAATGGGAGTGGGGGGGAGGGAGGGGAGAACCAGCTCCTTTTTGTTCCTTCTTATTCTTGGCAATAATGAATGGAAGGAATTTAATCCAGTGAAAGTAATGAAACTTAATCCTTGCAATGTGTCTTTGTTACCCAGTTCAAAGAACTATTTTAATGCATCTTATTCACACCATGCTCTCCCTCCCTTCTCTACTTGAAGATACTTCAAGTAGACTACTTCAGAATGCACACTAATACAGCAGTAACTCTATCTTGGAAACCTTTCTATTGATTATTTCATTTGCCTGCCTGACTAGAGGATTGATCTTTTACTGACCTGAACATTAAGGGTAGAAAGGGTTCTCATCCAGCCCTCTTGTTGAATTTTTATCATGAGCATTTGTTTTAGGAAGACTTAAAGTGCCTTATGTTTTTAAAAGTGTATTTTGCTAGAAATGTATGAAAGTAGACTATCTCTAACAGTATTTCATTATGAGCTGTAAAACAAATTGCAAACACTAAACCAAAAATGTTATTTCTACAGTTGTTTGTCCATTATTTGCCGGCATCTTGATTCTGGGGTTGCTGCAGGCAGAACCCTGGCAGAATTGTAAACATTAAGAATGGGGCTATACATGGTCAGATGAGATTTGACCTGTGCTATGTAAAACCAAGAGTAGGTGAGAATTCCAAAGGGACTGCTGAAAATCTTGGCTTTTGGGGCCCACTTGGGACAGCCCAGTGTGTGTTACAGACCGAACCCAGCTTTACTTCTGGTATAGTGTTGCAGAAATTTGCTCCACAGTTTCAAAGGTGGAAGTAACTCACGGGCAAGATAAATGTACAAAGAAGAGAACATGGTGTCATGGTGGAGATTTCCAGCAATATGAAACAACAGTTCTAAACTTCTTGAATTGTTTCCCTCTTAATATGCTAACCCTGAAACCTGTAAATGACTTTTTGAATGTTAATTTTCTGATCATGTTAACTGGCTAATGTGTTCCCATTTCTTGAGTAATCCCATGTTTTCTCCTACATCCTGAAAAGTGTTTGTGATCTATTGCCAAAATGTTTTAGATCCTACCGTGCAATTACTAGTTGTCAGTGCAGAAATGTGCTGTATTGGAAAGTGGGACAGTGGGAAGCAACAATTACTCAATATTTGCTTCAGCAGGAACTATTTCAGAGATGGTTCAACTTCATGTATAATGAAAAACCTTTCAAATCATGCAACAACTCCGTTTCAAATAACATAAAGTATTGAGGAATGCAGTGACTTTGCCTATAATAACCAGGCTGAGACTATTATTCTTTGTTAACTAATTTAGAGATATCCTTTTCTGTGCCTTCTTAATACCTTTCTTTGGAAACAAAATCACAGAAATGGTGGTTTAAAGAAACTTCTGGTGGTCTCTAATCTAACCTCTTCATTTAAGCAGGACTATTGCCAGCACTAGTTCAGGTTGCTGTGGGTTTCTCTAGCTGCATCGTAGAAACCTCCAAGGATGAAGAGTCCACAATCTCTCTGCCTCTGGTGCTATGATCTCCTCCATGTGCAGAAGTCTGTCCAAAAGTTCAGGGTCTTCCTGACATTAGTTGCCTGTCTTCTGACATCAAGAAGCAAATCTTGGCTCTCAAAATTCCTTCTCTGCTTTTAGTACTAATGCAATGTGGAGAGTGTAAATCATAGAATGGTGTGGGTTGAAAGGGACTTTAAAGATCATACAGTTCTGACCCCCCTGCCATGGGCAGGGCCCCCTTCCCCCAGCCCAGGGTGCTCCCAGCCCCATCCAACCTGGCCTTGAACCCTTCCAGGGAGGGGGCAGCCACAGCTGCTCTGGGCACCCTGGGCCAGTGTCTCACCACCCTCATAATGAAGAATTTCTTCCTTTAATCTAAATCTACCCTCTTTCAGTTTAAAAGTTACCCCTCCTCCTATCTCTACACTCCCTGATAAAGAGTCCATCCCCATCTTTCCTGTAGCCCTCTTTAAGTACAGGAAGGCTGCTATAAGGTGTCCCTAGAGCCTTCCCTTCTCCAGGCTGAAGAGCCCCAACTCTCTCAGCCTGTCCTTATAAGGGAGGTGCTCCAGCCCCCTGAGCATCTTTCCAGCCTCCTCTGGACCCACTTGAGCAGGTCCATGTCCTTCTATCAGGGGCCCCAGATCTGGGCATAGTATTGCAGATGGGGTCTCATGAGAGTGGAGTAGAGGGAGAGAATCATCTCCATCAACCTGCTGGTCACACTTCTCTTGATGCAGCTGTCCTGTGTTGAGTGAGTGGTGGAGTTTTTTGGTGGCAGGGGAGGGGGCAATCGGGGCGTCCCCCTGTGAGAAGCTTCTCGAAGCTCCCCCAGCTCCAAGTCAGCTCCACTTCTGTTTGGGAAATTGAGCCAATCGGCTGCGCCTCTGCGATAATGTATTTAAGAAGGGACGTGGTGACGGGCAGTGGGACTTGTGAGGAGGAGTTGCTGCAGCTGCCTGAACACCAAGGTCAGTGGAGGAACGGAGGAAGAAAGGAGGGGGGAGGTGTGCCGGAGCAGAGACCCCCCTGTATCCTGTGGGGAGACGGCAGGGCGGCCCCCCCCTGCCACCCATGAAGATCTACGGTGGAGCAGACATTGATTTATGGCCTGTTGCTCCTGCTTGGTATAATCAAGGTTCTGTGCCCGAAGAAGGCCGGGGTCTCATGGGAAAAGGCAGCCCCTCTGCTGTAATTCAGCGCTGGGAGGATTGCAGCATGCGGGGGAGTCCCACGCCGGAGCAGCTCGGGAAGGGCTGCAGCCGTGGGAGGGAATCCAGTCGGAGGAAGTTAGTGACCCATGACGGAGCAGTGTGGGGAACGCTGCGGCCCATGGGAGGAATTCATGTTGGAGAAAGTTTGTGGAGGACTGTCTCCTGTGAGAGGGGGACCACGATGGAGCAGGAGGAACAAGTTCCGGACACTTCCCTCACCAAAGATGAAGAAAGTGGCAGCGCTGACTGCACCCCCCATTCCCTGCCCCTGCGCCACTGGGGGAGGAGGTAGAGATATCGGGAGCAGAGCTGAGCCCGGGAAGAAGGGAGGGGTGGGGGGAAGGTGTTCTCAAGATGTGGCAATGCTTCTCACTGTCCTACTCTGTTATGTGTTGTTAGTGTCTGTAATAAATGTATGTTCTTTTTTTCTTCCCCTAACGAGTCTGCCTTTGCTCGTGATCATAAAAGGGGGATTTTCCCCCATCCCAGTCCTATCTTGAACCCCAAGCCTGGCTCTCTGTCCCTTCTCATTGCTGGAGGGGAAGGGAGAGAGAGCTGCTGCATTGTGGTTGGCTGCCAACCAGGCCTAAACCACGACAGCAGCCCAGGATAGGGTTTACTTTCTGGGCTGTGAGTACACATTGCTGGTTCATAGTTGGTTTTCCATCCACTAACACCTCCAAGTCCTCCGCAGGGCTGCTCTCAATCCACTCATTGCCCAGCCTGTATTTGTTCATGGGATTGCCCTGAACTATGTGCAGGACCTTGCACTTGGCCTTGTTGAACCTCATGAGGTTTGCACAGGCCCCCCTCTCCAGCCTGTCAAGGCCCCTCTGGATGCCATCCCTGCCCTCCAGTGTGTTGACTGCACCACACAGCTGGGTGTCATTGGTGAGCTTGCTGAGGGTGCACTCGATCCCACTGTCCATGTCACCAACTAAGATGTTAAACAGCACTGGTCCCGATACCAATCCCTGAGGAATGCCACTTGTCACTGGTCTCCACTTGGATATCGAGCCACTGACTACAACTTTTTGAGTGCGACCATCCAGACCATTCCTTATCCACGTAGTGGTCCATTCATCAAATCCATGTCTTGCCAATTTAGAGACAAGGATATTGTGTGGGACGGTGTCAAATTCTTTGCACAAGTTCAAGTAAGTGAAGTCAGTTGCTTGTCCCTTATCCACCAACTCTGTAAACCCATCGTAGAAGGCCACCAAATTCATCAGGCATGACTTGCTCCTAGTGAAGCCATGTTGGCTGTCACCAATCACCTCCTTATTTTCCATGTGCTCTACCATAGTTTCCAGGAGGATCTGCTCCATGATCTTGCCAGGCACAGAGGTGAGACTGACTGACCTGTTGTCCCCTGGGTCTTCTTTATTTCTCTTTTTAAAAATGGGGGTTATGTTTCCCCTTTTCCAGTCAGCAGGAACTTCACTGGTCTGCCACGACTTCTCAAATATGATGGACAATGGCTTAGTTCCTTCAGGACTAAGCATCTCATCAGGTCCCATGGACTTGTGCACCTTCAGGTTCCTTAGATGGTCTCAAACCTGATCTTCTCCTACAGTGGGTGGTTCTTCCTTCCCCCAGTCCCCACCTTTACCTTCTCTATCTTGGGTGGTGTGGCTGGTGAAGACTGAGGCAAAAAAGTCATTAAGTACATCATCCTTCTCCATGTTCCAGGTGACCAAGTCTCCTTTTGCCTTCCAGAGAGGGCCCACATTTTACCTGTAAAAGCCTTTTTTGTTGCCCTTGACGTCTCAGGCCAGATTTAGTTCTATCAGGGATTTGGCCTTTCTAACTTGATCCCTGGCTACTCAGTTTCTCTGTACTGCTCCCAGGCTACCTGTTGTTGCTTCCAGCCTTGTAGGCTTCTGTTTTGTGTTTGAGCTTGTCCAGGACCTCCTTGTTCATCCATGCAGGCCTCCTGGTGTTCTTACCTGACTTCCTCTTTGTTGGGATGCATCTCTCCTGAGCTTGGAGGAGGTGATCCTTGAATATCAACCAGCTTTCTTGGGCCCCTCTTCCCTCCAGGGCTTCATCCCATGCTACTCTGCCAAGCAAATCCCTGAAGAGGCCAAAGTCTCCTCTCCTGAAGTCCAGCGTAGCGAGCTTGCTGTGTGCCCTCCTTGCTAACCTAAGGATCTTGAACTCCACCGTTTCATGGTCACTGCAGCCAAAGTTGCCCTTGAGCTTCACACCCCCCACCAGCCCCTCCTTGTTGTTGAGAACAAGGTCCAGCATAGCACCTCTCCTCGTTGGCTCCTCTACCACTTGGAGAAGGAAGTTATTGTCAATGCATTCCAGTAACCTCCTGGACTGCTTATGCCCTGCTGTGTTGTCCCTCCAACAGATATCAGGGTGGTTGAAGTCCCCATGAGGCCACTGACTTGGGAACATGAGGCTGCTCCTATCTGTCCGTAGGGAGCCTCATCCGCTCGGTCTTCCTGGTTGGGTGGCCTGTAGCAGACCCCCACTATAACGTCTCCTGTCCCTGCCCTCCCTTTAATCCCGACCCATAAGCTCTCAGTTGGCTCCTCATCCATCCCCAGGCAGAGCTCCACGCACTCCAGCTGGTCACTGACATAGAGGGTGACCCCTACGTCTCATCTCCCCTGCCTGTCCTTCCTAAAGAGCCTGTATCCTTCCAGTCCAACACTCCAGTCATAGGAGCCATCCCACCACATCTCCGTGATGCTAATAAGATCGTATCCCTGCAGGCATGCGTGCATCTCTAGCTCCTCTGGTTTAGTCCCCATGCTCCACGCATTTGCACGGAGGCAAAGCTGACTCTCTGGCTGGAATTCCTTTCTGCTGCTGTTCAGGTGTTCTCCTGCTGACTCCTCTCCAGGCTCTGGGCATCTATCGCTGGCACTGACTTGAGGTTCCCCTCCCCCAGCAACTTTAGTTTAAAGCCCTCTTCACCAGCTTGGCAAAGCCTATGGCCGAAGATGCTCTTCCACTTCTCTGACAGATGGACCCCGTCAGCCCCCAGCAGGCCAGGTTTCCCAAAGTGAGTTGAATGAAATGAAACATGAGTTATGTAGATGTCTGAAGCAGATGCTCAGAATGTCAAACTGACATTTTAGGTTCGTGCACAATTGCATTGATCTAAAAGGGAGCATTAGGTTTGTGCTTTGGAAGTGCTCTTCGTGAAGTAGAGCTATACAGATGGGCTGCCTTAGGTGATCCAGACACCTAGAACTGAGTGTACGCACTTTTTCCTCTGCGCTAAGGTTGTGAGTTGCAATTGCTAACCATTTAAAAAAAGAGTTATTGGGAGAAGACTAGTCTGCGTTGAAGAAGGCCAGGGACATCTGCACGTTTAGTCACAGTCTGGAGATGGCATGCCTTTCCAATAGTCACTGCTCTATGGTGACTTATCAGAGGAGGGGTGAGAGTATGTGGTTTTGTACTACAGTTTGCTGCGGTCTCTCACCAGTCAGCAGAAAGAGGGCAGTTTTGACAAGGAGGTTTAGCAGTAGCCAAGGTCCTTTCAGGATGGAGGGAAATGTAACCCATAGCAGAGCCCAAATCCTGCTTCACACTGGTATTTTTTTGGCAAGGTGAGAGTGCAGCTCATCTGGTGTCAGTTCGAGGACTGAACACCCAGGACCCTTCTCTTTGTCCCAGCCTGGAACTTACTGGTGGCAGCCC